AGACCAATCGTTCTATCGTCGCGGAATCTACGCGTTGCCCGAAAGATGGGAAAAATGTATAGCTAGCGAGGAAAAATACTTCGATTAATGTATTTTTTGCTTTTGATTTCGAAATAAATGAGTTTTTTAAACAACTCGTATTAAAAAATTTTTCTGGTTAAACTTTAAAAACGCTTGTTGAAAGGAAGTACTATTGTGGCATGACTATTATTTATCTACTCGGACGAAAACATTCGCATAATTATGATCGAACTTTAGAGTTCATTTGATCACATAATGTGCTGAATCTCTTTTTGCAAATTTCTTATCGTCTCAAGTTGCGTGATTTAACACGCTCAAACGTATAAAATTTTAATTTATACATCATAAACGTGTTGAACGATATGATTTAAAACCGTAAGAGATGTGTGAAAAGAATTTCAGTGAATTATACGCTTATACGTTTAAGAATAAGACACTCGGATTTGCAGTGTTGCTACACTAGAAATCATTGTATTGTAACGATGCTTCACACACATCGTTACTAACAGCCCGACAGAACACCCGTCGAGCTGCAAACGGCGCTACGCGCCACACAAAGGCCGTAAGGCCAAAAACTAAACATAAACAAGTAACGCGCCCATCACGCGTCTAAACAATACCGCAGCGTGCGAGATGTCAACAACGATTGACAGATATAAAAATCGAGTATATAAACCGTGGCCGAGAAATAAGCGGCATCAGACCGATCCGGACCGTACACCGAACTCGATGCTTAACCCGGGAGTGGAGTCGTTAACGGGACCTACGTTAGGGGGCGCGTACCGGTCATTTCGACCGAAATATATTTAAGCACATATATGTATAATAATTGAGTAATAATTAATAAATTATCAATTCAATTATTAAAAGAAACATAACAATTCAAGGAAATAATTTTATTAAGTCACTATTTTTTCTTTTTTCCCACTTTTTTCTCTATATCCTTTCTATATCTAATATGTTTAAGAAACATATTAAACTTATTATACATATGTGAATATATTAAAAATAAAAGCATAATATTTTTATTTTAACTGCATTGGTACAATGCAGTTATTAATGTCTCATATATGTACTCAGAATCCTCTGAATCACTAATTGTTTCTTCTTTATATCCTTCTAAATAATTCTTTCTAGATCGCTTATTCATGTTTGCACGTTTAAAATTGTAATATTCGAGACACTACAGAGAACCGTTCGCCCAACTACAATGTCGAAAAGACAATAGACGTTTGGCGGCACATCGAGCGATGCTGACACGGCAGATAAAAGACTAACGTTAACAGGCACGCTATGGTCTTTTAGATTGACTGCTACAAACGTATCAAATTTCACATAAAAATAAGCGTGTCTACGCCATCTATTTCGCCATGTTATACGAGAAAACATCAAAGAAAATTTACGTAAAAGCGAAAATACGATAATATCAATATATTAGATGCTATAAATGGAAAACAAAAAAGTACGGGGAAATGACCGGTACAACTCCACTCTCGGGTTAAGAGCGAAAAGCGAGGACTTCGACCGTATCGTTTCTGCCTTCCCGTCAGCTTTCGCACCCGTACAGGCAAACCCGACACCAGGAGATTGTGTGTATCTCCGTCGAGAGCTCATGACACTGACTTCGCCTTCCTATCTGATTCCAACGACCGGCCAACGAGTTCGTGTGTTCGCGAACCCCGTCGATTCTCGGTACCGATCGTATCCTTTCTCGACATGCAAGTACACGTGCCAATGTGTTCGCTGCGCTCGATCGAACGTTGTCGATACTTGCATATATCGCGTCAGCGACAAGCGAGTCGCCCTATATATAGCGCCGCGTGCTACAACATGGTCGTACCGCCATTACTGCTGGGCACCCGCGGCCGCCGAATTTATAGCGTCGCGATTCGCGAACATCTCGCTATTCACTGACACCGTCTTTCGCGATACACTGTGTTCGCGCTATACGCTCGGCCTACTGAATCGCGAGACTCGTTCGACCGAGAGCGCGACCCGATTACTGGCGCCGTCTTATGCCGATACACGCAAATTATCAGTTGCTGTATCAAAGGATCTTAATAAACTTTTGTTATTTATTTTTGTTAATTGCCTGTGTCAACAAATTATTGAACCCGGACTCCGACGAGCGAAATTGCTGGCGATCTATTAAACAATCGACCTGCGGAGTTCGGCTATTACAATATAAAATACGAAAAGGAAAATTTGATAATTAAGAGAAACTAGCGGTAATATTTTGAAGATACCTTTAGCAGATATATCTTTAAAAGATATATCTTAAGTATATTTTTTATAAAGATATCTCTAAAGATATCTGCAAGAACGACGATAAGTTTCCATTCTTTTACACGAAGCACAAAAACAAATATGACGGCATTGGATACAAAGTGTTATCTCGTTCAGATACAAATTAAACTTTAGAAATGATTCTTTCCTTCACATCATATTTCACTTTTTAGAAGATAACTTCTGAGACTCCTTTGCATATTTGTACCAGTAAGTCTCTCTGAAACTATATTTATGATAGAACACAATGCACAGTATACTGAAGATTATAATGTATAAATTTTTTTCTTAAGACAGAAAGAGTTCGCCTCGTAGTATTATGCACTGTCGTAGGTAATGTATGTAAAGTTCCAGAAGACACTTATATAAAGATAATATAAATAGCGAGAAATCTTCATGTGCTGAACTGCGATAAATTTATAATATGCTTATGCAAAACTTTTTATATATTTAATAGAACATAATTAAATCCAAATAAATATTTTTTTTTTCAATTTAATGAATATGTAATTCGAAATTAATTTAAGCTATTCCTTACAGTAGTCGATCGTCAGTTGTACTTAAATGCTTAATGACAGTCGGTAAAAAAGAAACAAGATAATAAGAAAGTCTATCGATTAAAAAAGAATTATTACATTATAGACGATGTTGTAGACGATTATAGACGACGATCGTATCGAAGTTCAATGTCGACTTTATTCATTTATGTTAATATTCGTTTTTGTCATATAGACTTTTTTTATCTTATGAGATTTTATCGGACGAGATTAATCGCGAAATTTTCAAGTTATATATATTGACATATTGCCATGATAATTGGAAGATAGCGTGTGGTAAAGTTTATCGTTACGTGTAATTAATAAAAAAGATCTATTACAACAGTGCATTACAAATCCAAGTGTATTATTATAGCTCTAATTACATGTTTCCTCATTTAACATGTTTAAATATATTAAATTAAAATTTATACATCTCTCTTAGGCGTGTTAAATGATGCGTAATAACTTAAAATGCTGAGAAACATATAAAACAATTCAGCCGAATTACACGTTTATGTGTTTGAAATAACACACTTGAATATTTAGTGTGACTTTAGTGCCATTTGCAACATATTAATATTAATAACTGTTACATCCCACACAGCACGTGATATATATAATATCACAGTAATATTTCAATAATATTTTTGCGATATTACAATATTACGGAAATATTACTGTGATATTATATAATATTACGTGCTGTGTGGGATTGTAGAATTAAATTATATTAACACGTTAATATTAACTATTAATACACTGTTATAAAATAATTAATTAAAAAAAGGATTCATTTGCGTACAGATTGGTATAATTGTATGACATCTAAGAAACTCACAATGTTAATAATGAGATATTGTCATAAATCACTTTCAAAAGTATACTTATCAATCAGTGTAGAGCTCTACTAGAAATCACACCAGAGGTCTCTGTATTATTATATATTGTTGTATCGACAGTTCACACATATCTATTCCTATGTGTCGCGTTGCATCGACGAGTCGCGCAGTTACATTGTGATTATCTTTAACGCCACTATCGCTTACTATCGCGTTCTAGAAAATGTTTTCCGCCGTACTTTTATTACTTATTATTGTAGTCATTATTGCATTTGCTTATCATTGCTGTGTGCATTATTCAAGAGACGGGCGATTAATCAATCAAATACCGGGACCGAAGATCCTTCCGGTTCTTGGCAATTTATTGCTATTCCAAAAAACAAGAGGTAAATAAAAATTCTTTATATGTTCATTATTAATTAAAAATTGTTTTTCTAACGTTCAACTTATTATTTATTCACGTAAGAAGATACTGAGTTTACATATAACATGAAACTATGAACATTATAGCCCATTAATTTTTTCTCCTTCTTATTTAATTTTGCTGTAATTTATGTGTAACTTTATTTGCTGTAATTATTGCACGTTTGACTTACATGAATAACGGCACAATATATTCAAAAGAATGAGAATGTTAACAACGCACATTTTACATATATCATTATTTATAATATATTCATTGTTCTTCAGAGCAACTCTGGTGCCTTCTTCGTACTCTTTCGGACCAATATGGTACCACTTTTAGATTTTGGGGTCTCCATTATGGAGTCGTATCCATTCGTCATCCAGATGATATCGAGGTATTTAAATATAAAGTAAAATGTCAGGGTTGGAAAGTAACGCGTTACTTGTAACGACATTACAATTTCGTTACATTTTTTTGGTAACGATTTGGTAACGCCGTTACTTTTTTGTATCAGTAACGAAAAAGAAACGGCGTTACATTTTCTTTAGTAACAAGTAACGAAACTCATCGTTACTTGTATCGTTACTTTTTTACTATAGTGGCTTCTGTACACAGAACGCGACAACGCTTGCCACACGACAAATGTTTGCACACGATAAACGATTAATGTGCTGCTTTCCGTAAAGCCCATTCTACAATGAACAATAAATCTTAAGTCATAATAAAATTGACCAATCATAGTCGACTATTAAAAGAATAATCCACTGTAATTGGTCAATTTTATTGCGACTTAAAACTTATTGCTTATTGTAGAAAGCCTCTAAAGCGTGGTCTACAATGAGAACTTAAGCCATAAAATTTAAGCTTTAAGCTCTAAGCCGTAAGAAATTATTTTTCTTATAATTGACTGTGATTGGTCAACTTCTTACGACTTAGGACTTAAAGCTTAAATTTTATAGCTTAAGTTCTCATTGTAGACCATGCTTAAGGGGCGCCGCACACGAATTGATATAACAGTAACGTACCGTAAGAATTGACCAATCCAACTTTGAGTATCGTCGAACCGTAAGGTCGCCATTTCTGTGAACACCCGATTGTAATTGGTCTATTTTTACGGTACGTCTTATGTTACTGTTATGACAATTCGTGTGCGGCGCCCCTAAAGCCCATTCTACATTAATCGCAATCGCAAGATCGCAAGGAAATTGACCAAACATAATTGATTATTCTTCGATCGCAAGAAGAACAATCGACTATGATTAGTCAATTTCTTTGGGACCTTGCGATTCGCAACTAATGTAGAATGGGCTTTATATTGTTATGCGAAAATGCTTCCCGCTTAAATATCTTATATTTTGTCTTTATATATGTATAATTTATGTACTGTCTCTCTTACTATTCGTTTTATAAACCGATTTTAACTTTTTTTTTACAAAAGTAACGGAAAGTAACGATTTTTTTATCGTTACTTTTAAAATAACGGTAACGCGTTACTTTTTAGAATCCGTAACGTGTAACGGTAACGAGTTACTTTTTACCGCAAGTAACGATAACGGTAACGGATTACTTTTAAAAAGTAACATTTCCTGTACAATTCCCTGTAAAACAACCCTGTAAAATATATATCTACACATCTATAGGGTGTTCAACGAAGTTACAATATGCAAGAAAAACATATTAACATGAGTATGAAGTCCCACATAATTTTTTACACAAACACAAAACTTCGAAATACTAAAGAAAAAAATTTAACGAATTAAAACCTACGATGTTTGGCAGACGAGCTCTGTATCCACGATATTTCACAGAAAATGGTTGAAACATAACTGTTTCTTAGCGACACGTTTACGATTGAGAAACAATTGTTTATCGGATCATTATCAAGATTGAGAACACTTGTTTGTCGCATCATTATTTTATCTTCAATTTTCAGGCGACAGCCATCGCCATTAAGACGCGTTGTAGTTGCGTCTTAACTATTACCGATAAGTTTATCTATAAAACTTGTACACGTATATTAGAGCGTTTTACGTCAGACACCTTTTTTTCTTAAGAGAGCAAGAATTCGCCTCGTAGTATTATGCACTACCTCAGATAATGTATCAAAGTTCAAGAAGACACTTATATATAGATAATATAAAGAGCGAGAAATCTTCATGTGCTGAACTGCGATTATAAAATTATAATATACTTGTGCAAAACTTTCTATATATTTAATAGAACATAATTAAATCCAAATAAATATTTTTTGTATATTATTTTTGTATATTTTTGTATCTATAGAAAAATTATTCTTAAAACAACTATATATTGTTAAGTTTGCCATTCAGAAACATTTTATATTGTTACTAGATTTGAGGCTTTCACGGCCATTGATACAATGTCTAGGTATAGCTTCCGGAATGGAGCCGTGTCTTGAATCAGCGATATGCCGACGTTTCGCAAACGTTGCAGTTTGCATCATCAGGGCTGAGAACTCTGATGAGTTCTCTTCATCAGAGTTCTCAGCCCTGATGATGCAAGCTGCAACGTTTGCGAAACGTCGGCATATCGCTGATTCAAGACACGGCTCCATTCCGGAAGCTATACCTAGACATTTAATATTGTTATTGTACATGGCATTATTACTTATATATTGCGAAAAGATTAAACATTCTAAAACATGGCTCGTGAAGCGATTGCTTATTTAGCTACATGTGAGTTTCAATGATACAATAAACTGATATTGCATTCAACTTCACTTTTTATGGTTTTAGTTAATATTAAATAATACGAAGCACATCGGCAAAGGGCAAATGTACGATTTGTTGCGCCCATGGCTAAATGACGGACTTCTTCTTAGTACAGGTAACACAATAAAATTATTATTGTAATCGCATACGTGCGCTTTATATCATCGAGTACTATGTACTACACGGAAAAAAAACAATTCTGTTGGTGCAACCGAATTTTTGCTTGCTCAGGGATCAGACGGAAACTCGGCTGTAACAACAGAAAAATTCCTTTATGAGGCTTATGTATAATCAATTATTCTCAGTTACTTTAACCGAGTTCTAAAATCGCTGAATGTTCCGACGAATATTTTCGGTTGCGACAACAGTAACATTAGTTTTCAAAACAGAGATATCGCTTCTGATCACCCTATTTTCAATTGGTTCCTATTTGCTTGCACCAATTGAGATTTTTTTTACGTGTAGGTATTGAGAGTACTCATCTTTTTATTCAGATATTCTGATAAAACGAGAAGCATTATAACATTAGAAAGTTAATTAGTGAAGATATAAGTGAAGATTAAACTCAAAATCGTGAGGCTTGCTTATTATATGCGAAAGTTATTGGTATTTTTTTTTTCAATTTTGTTTATTTTATATTATTGTTTTTACTTCATATTGCGCACACGCGCGCTCGTTATCGTGCTATCTGCTATAACATTCCTATTGCAAAAATCATTCTAAAATTAACCTTAGTCTTAATCTTATTTCTGTTTTAGGTGCCAAATGGCATTCACGGCGAAAAATGCTAACGCCTACATTTCACTTTAGTATACTACGAGAGTTCACAAATATTTTAACTGAGGAGGGTAAACGCATGGTGCAGAAATTAAAGGACGTCGGCGATATGGTTGAAGTGGATATCGAATTATTTATTTCTGAACATACGCTGAACATAATATGCGGTAAATCATTATATATTTCTGTCACATAATTGTAAAGAGAATTAATTTTGTATATCTAAGAACTGCCTACAATTGTAGAAACTGCTATGGGCACTTCTCCGCACAATCTCGGTACGATGCAAGAAAAATATCGACACAAGGTTCACCAACTTGGTCAGTTACTCATATATAGGTAATTAATAATCCAAATATCCGTCTTTACATGATATCACAAATGGATCTAGTCATTATTGAGGCATGCGAAGAAAAATAATTATAATTAAGGTACAGACGCGAACAATACGTGATTCGCAAATCGCACGTAATAAGTCTTTCAGCCTTAAAAGAAAATTATTTAAATTTCTTAAAATATCAAATATTAAAATATTTTTAAAAAATCGAGTGTGTTTGTAAAAAATCGAAGACAGAACTTATATTCCAATGCTGGCCAAACGATATGCAGTGTAAAAGAAAAAGAGATAATACTAAAAAAAAAAACAATACCATAATGTATAATTTGATTTTATTACAGAGAATTAAATCTTACTTGTTATTCACTTCTCGTGATTATTCAGAAACTATTAATACTATTATTCTCTCAGATTTATTTTTAGCGTAATATATTTATGCCATTTAGAATCGTGAGGCCCTGGCTTTTTAACGACATCATATTCGCATTAACGCCTAAGGGCAGAGAACAGAAGAAGATACTACAAAATTTACATGGGTTCACTGAAAAAGTGCGTCAAAATTAAATTACTTAACATTCAGTATACTTCCCAATGTACAAAATTAGAACAAAAACTCATATATAAGTACTGATAAGAAATATTGAAATATTAGTGAAAAAGTCAAGACGCAATTAGATAAGCCGTAAAATAAATTTATATTTTCTCACGTTGACATCATTTTTAGATAATTGCGGAAAGAAAAATGTATCACAAACGCACCAACAATAAGGAATTGCACAATATTGCAAATAACGATCCGATAGAAATAGATAACGCAGAAATACATGGAAGTATGTAAGCTAAGTATGAATTTCAACTTCATTCTAATATCGCAAAATCGTAATTGTGATATTTCTGATCCAGTTCGAAAAAAGCGAATCGCCATGTTGGATCTTCTAATATCTACCTCTCAGGAAAATAATTTGAGTGATTTGGATATTAGAGAGGAAGTGGATACTTTCACGTTCGAAGTAGGTATCCTCGAACCTAGGGTGCGATTTTTCTCGACAGCCTGATATATTATATGAACACAACTAACACGCAAACTGATTATAGGGTCATGATACAACATCGATGGCTATATGTTTCACTCTGTTACTATTAGCAGAACACAAGGATATTCAGGTGCTCTTCTCCATAGAAACATGAGATATGTAACAATTAAAAGCAGCATCTGATTAATTTTGTTCAACCATTAAGTCGTTAATTAAATTCTGTTGAAAAGATAGAAGCATTAAGTATTTATCGCTGTGTATTTTTTTACGTATCGATTAAAATTAATTGATCAAACGAGAATAGTCGAAAACACTATCTCTAAAATAAATTTAAGTATATACGTAGACAATTGCTGAAACTATTTCTTTGTGTATATGTGTAAGTATCACAGAGTAGTGCAATTTTAATCAGTGTTGGTGGTATAGGATCGCGTCAGGGAGGAAGTCAAAACAGTGATGCAGCAATGTGAGGGCAAATTGACTATGACGTCGTTGCAGAATCTACCGTATTTAGAAAGATGTTTGAAGGAATCGTTGCGACTGTACCCCAGCGTGTATTTCATAACACGAATCACCGCGGAGGATGTGCAATTACGCGGTAACAGCCATAAATCTTTATGAATATCTAAACATATTCCAAATTTAACGTTTCAAAATTATCGTAATTAAATTGAAATGAGGTAACCATGTGTAAGATGATTAATTTTTTATATTTTTTAAACGTAGAAATTATCATAATATTTAATTATCGCGTGTTTGTAAGTTATTCCTGATTATGTAATACATTTTACAGATTCATATGTAATACCCCGTGGAACAATAACACACCTCAATATCTTCGACGCTCATAGAGATCCCAATTTCTGGCCGAATCCAGATGTATTTGATCCAGATAGATTTTTGCCTGAAAAGATACAAAAGCGTCA